GACCGTAGACTGGCCAACGGAGGCTCCACTGAGTACCTGCAGGAAACGTCCCAGTGAAACCAGGTGGTCGGCGCAGCCCGATCTCCTTGTGCAGGCTGCCCTGCAGGAAGGCTGTACTGAAGTCCAGGGAGTGCAACTCGTAGTCACGCTGAGCAGCGACGTGCAGCATCACCCGAAGAGTAGTCATCTTCGGGGTGGGGGAGAAGGTCTGGAAGTAGTCAACTCCCTGTCGCTAGCAGAAGCCTCGAGCAACGTAACGCGCCTTGAAGGCAGGCGGAGAACCCGGCGGCCGCTTCACCCTGAAAATCCACATGCCATCGACTATGTTCGCCCCAGGTGGGGGAAACTTGTCGACGTAGGTGCCTGTGGACTTCCAGGATGCCATCTCGGCATCCATAGCTGCCTGCCACTGAGAGGAGTAAGGACCCGTAATCGCCTCTGCGTAAGAGCGCGGGGTCAAGATGTCTGGAGCATCCGGGTCTCCCTCAGGGGCAAGCAGCATGGAAGCGAAACGAGGTACAACAGCTCCAAGAGTCCTCCTGCCTGTCCTCAAGGACGTCCGTGCCAAGAGCACACTCACCCCCAACGGACGGAGGAGTGGCAGACATAAACTCAACAACGAGAGCAGTGGCGTAGTCGAGACGGCACGCAACAGCAAAGTCAAGTAGCTCAGCAACGAGAGCAGACGCAGCAGCAGACTTAAAGGACGGGTCAGTGACAGCAGTGGCAACGAGACGAGCGACAAAGGGACTGGCAGCACGTGCTCGGTCAGACTCAGGTTCAGGGACCTCAGGAAGAGAGGACTCAGGAGGAGCAGGCAGAGGAACACGCAGTGGAACAGAGGAAGGACAGAGTGCCATAGCGTGCGTGCAGGGGACAGGAGGAGGACGCAAACGAGGAGCACAACGAGCAGTGCGAACAGGCGAGACAGGACGAGACGCAGGCTCACGACGCTCTGTAAGACCTCCGGACTGCTCAGTGTAAGGAGAGGGAGCACGCAGTGGGGAGGCTGGCTGTAACGGCGGCTGCGACTGGTCAGGCGGTGGACACAGGAAGGGAGGAGGAAGACCAGTAGACGGGACACCAAGAACCTGCTGAAGCAGGGGAACGAAGTACGGTCGCGGCCGCACAGTGTCTCCAGCACCTCCAGCTCCAGGGTCAACAACTCGAGCTCCTGCAGCTCCAGCGCCTCCGGCGCTAGTGCCTCCAACTCCAGCTCCTGCAGCCCCAACGCCTCCTTCACCAGGGCCCCCAACTCCAGCTACTCCAGCTCCAGCGCCTACAGCGCCTGCTGCTCCAGGCTCCGTAGGGTCTCCAACTCCAGTGCACCCAACACCACCAATCCCGACAGCTCCAATAGGAACAGCAGTACCTCCAGCTCCCGTGTCTCCAGCCCCTCCAGCTCCGGGAGCCCCACTCCGACGGTGCGGGCGCCGAACAAGCCACTCACGCAGCTTCTGCAAGGACACTCGCGGCGAAGCACCAGCAGGACCTCCAGACGAAGCAGCACCCCGAGGCTCAGCACCCCCAGACTCCGCACCCTCCGACTCAGCACCCCCAAGCACAACACCCTCAGGCGCAGCACCCCCAGACCCAGCACCCTCAGACCCCGCACCCCCCGGCTCCGCACCCCCAGACGCAGCACCTGGAGCAGCACCTGAGACGACAGCTACCTGAAAGGGCGCAGTACCAGGGAGAGGGTCTACCTGAGACACTCCCGAGGGAGCAGGACCCTAGGGCGGGAGGGGGTCTACCGGAGGTGGACCGGGAGCAAGGAAGAGCGGCGGGGGCGGGGGAGGGGCAGAGCGGTAGGGGAAGAGACAGTAGAAGGGAACCGACTTGTCGAACGTGACGTCCTGAGACGGGAAGACACGGCGCGAGGGGGGGTGGTAAAACTGCCAGCGAGGCGCGTCTGGGACAAAGCCAAGGAAGACGCAGGGAATGGCGCGGGCGGAGAGCTTGTCCGCGGACGTATCGCGAACAAAGGCACGAGAACCCCAGACCCAGAACACCGACGCATCGCCAACCTTCCCCGTCCAACACAGTGTGGGCGAGGTCTCCGGCAAGGAGAGACGGGGCCAGAGGTTGAGCTGATGCGCAGCGTACCGGACCGCAAACGGCCACAGAAAATGGGGAGCAGCCGCATGGATCATGGAGGTACGAGCCAACTCCATGACAAAGCCAATGCGGCGCTCAGCAATCCCATTTTGCTGAGGGGAGTCCGGAAGCGTGAACGACTGGGTGATGACCTCCCCACGACAAAAGTCCCGCAAGAGGTCGGAGGAGAACTCACCACCTCTGTCAGAGTGCAGACACAGGACAGGGAGGTCCTGACCGAACCGCTCGCGTAGCTGGAGACGGACTGTGCGGATCCAAGGGATCAAGACATCAATGACCTGACCCTTGCTGCGCAAGGGGAAGACCGTGGTGTACCGCATGTAGTCGTCAACTACCAGCAGAAAGTAGCGCTCGCGGCCCTGTCCACTAACGCAGGCTGGGCCCCACACGTCCATGTGGAGAGTCTGCAGGGGAGCAGTCGTCGGGGGAAACGAGGAGGAGTGAGGAGCGGCGCGCTGCTGCCCCTCGACGCAAGGAAGACAGGGCGGGGCAGGCGAGGGCGGTAAGGGAGGCAGAGACCTGGGGAGACCAGAGACAAGGAGACGAGTGTGCATGCCACGAAGGCGTGGCAGGGAGGGGTGACCCAGGCGGTGGTGCCAAAGAAGAGTCTGGTGCGACAGGAGGCGACACGAGCAAGAGGCGGCTACCTGACCTGACGCGGACACCTGAGCAGACGCAACTACCTGAGGAGGCTTGGTAGCCAGCGTGTACAGACTCGACCCTGGCCGACGAGTGAACGTAGCAAGGTGACGCCCCGTCCGTGTGCACGTGCAGATCGACACACGCTGATCCCCAGGAGTGGTGGTAGTGACCATCGCATCCTGAAGGGCAGCGGTACTCACCAAGTTCGTAGAGAACGAGGGGAGGTGAAGACCTGACAGTGAGCCCGACGGAACCGCCGGACACGGGAGGACAGTGGAGGAACGGGCAACGACCGGGCCCCCAGAGGGGTCAGCCAGTCTGACCGTGACAGGTGCAGGGAGAGGAGTGAGAGTGGTGCTGTCACAAAAGAAATAGCGCGAGGCACCGGAGTCCAACGTGAAAGTGTGCAAGGCCTCAGCAGGCGCAGTATCAAGGGGAGTACCAGACGCACTAGCACCTAGAGCAGCAGCCGCTATACCTGGGTCAGGTGGCACACACCGGTAACAGTCACCCTCAGCACTAAAAGACAAAGCATACATGGCAGAGATAATAACATCAAAGTCTAGGTCAAAGATAGCAACTCCTGACTGAAGCAACTGCGCCCAGTGAGGGCGCTCGACGTCGTCACCAAACTCAGCACGCCAGGCGTCGTCAAGGCGGGCAAAGCAGCGGCGCTCAGTGTGAAACGTCCTGCATGTCCGGCCCGCACGGACACCCGTGCGAATGACATACGGGCAGGTCTCACTACCCTCACCCGCCCCACGCTGAACCAACCACTCACGGAGCTGCTGGGGCGTCTGGGTTTCGCTCCGACGCTGCTGCTGCTGGCCCCGACCACCACCAGGGCCTCCACGCCGAGGTCCTGACCTACCACCACCGGTCCCACCGCCTCCACTGCCGCCACTCCCTCCGCTGCCTCCACCGCCGCCACCAGAGCCTCCACCACCGCCACGAGTCCCACCGCCGCCACCACCTCCACCGCCTCCACGAAGTCTTTAGAGACAAACGCTACTGAAGCGCTACCGAGTTGCTGGCGCAATACCATTCTCATATCAGAAACTCTCTCGCTATCGCTACGCTCTCCATAGTATTCCTTTAGTTTGTCGAAAGCATCGTCCGCGGCTGTAACGCCAGCCCTCTCATCCACCGGCCCATCGCGGTCCCCGCTCCCGCCGTCCGCACCGCGAGTCGCGTCAATTCGACCGTTACACCTCGATACGACAGGCCGTGTGAGAGGTCTCGCTCTAAACGGCCTCGCTAAAAGCAGAGGTCTCGCGGCTGCATAAGGCCTCGTTACTACAGGATCGTTCGCACTTATTCCAATAACGAGGCTGCCGGTAACGATATGCGATCATCTGCCCGCAACGCCAGCTATAAGCGCGGCATTCCACGGCAGAATTCACGGAGAGATAGCAGAGACCGACGGTTGAATTGATGAGGAGCTCGCTGGCGTACGTCCTCGTCTGTCAGCTTGACGGAAAACATCTCTGCTAGACGGTCGTCCTTTATTACTAGCAATGCCGGCAGGTCCAACCACGGAATGCGGCGGGAGAAGCGGCGAGCTAACCAGCGACGGCGACAGTCGAATCAAATGCGGCGGTCGAATAGACCGCACGGATGGAATTCCGGCGGCATGTGGAGGGAAGCATCGTTCCTGACGCGAGGAATTCTGACGGGAAGCCAGCTGCGACCTAGAAGCCGCGCATGTCGGCGCGCGAGCCGCTTCCATGGCCGCCCAGGTTGCGTGACTGTAAGACCAAGTTCCACGCCGTTTCCAATTAATTCCTTCATTATCCTGCCTGGTCTGGCCTGTGGGACTGATCGTTATACGCGTTATGAAGACGGTCTGACATAGTCCTCAGTACTAAGTTCAGCTCAACAAGATTCATGCACTCGGAAAAATACACACACAAAAGGAACTAGCCAAATTTATTTCCTACATTACAGCATGCACACAGCACCCTATCCCCTTTATAAGCATACACACGCACACACTCTTGTCTGTCACTTGGCACGTACATTACAGCATGCACACAGCACCCTATCCCCTTTATAAGCATACACACACAAGCCGATTCCGGCAACCTAAACCGCACAGAAGCACGCTCCGCCATCCATCCGTCTCCGAGCTTTCAAGTCTTCCTCTATCGAATCACCGTCAATCCTTCTCCCCGCGTCAGCCCTCTCTCCATTTAGGTTCTGAAGTTTGCCCCCAATGTAACATAACAGAGTCGTTGGCACTACCCTGACAGGTCTGGCAACCAATCAAGCGCCTCCAACCCTCCCTGCTCTGCCAGCCACGCTGCCGCCTCCCCCATGCCGCTGCCGCCCACGCCGCCCACACCACCCATGCCGCCCATGCCGCTCAAGCCGTCAAGCCCCATGCACAGCGTGCGCGTGCATTGCACTCCCGGGGTATGCATCGTAACAGCAGAAGCCGCGGCAGCAGTGGTTGGAACCACGGGGCTCAGACTGGCACACACATCATTGCACGCCATACCCATGAAATCGGGGGTGTGACTCATGCTGGCATGGATATCAGCAGCCTGAGGTGCCTGAGCAGGTGGCATCTGGGGAAGGTGGAACTGGTGCAGGTGCGCAGCAGCACTGACTTCATGATGCTCGTGGTTCGGGACGAGGTTCGGGAAGTGGTTGGGGATGGGAGGGAGAGAGGCAACGGGACGATGCACACTAGCGGAGGCAGTGCCGTTCGGAAAAGCACCCATAGTGGCAGGTGGAGAGGTGAGCGGAGGAGTGCCAGGAGGAGTGGTGAAAGAAGGTAATGGTTGCATCGCTAGTTGAGAGGCCTGAATCCGTGCTGGCATCTCCATCACAACAGCCTCTGGCTTCGCTTGCACTGGATACTGAACATGCACTTGCCGTGCAGACTGAACACACCCTTGGACCGGAGCTTCGGGCCTTATCTGAAGCACCATAGGCAGCTGCTGCTGCAGTTGCTGCTGCTGCTGCTGCTGCTGCTGCTGCTGCTGCTGCTGCTGCTGCTGCTGCTGCTGCTCTTGCTGCCCCTGCCCTTGGGGTTGCCAGCACTCACAGTGACAGCACGGGGTTTCCAGGGTGGGCAGCACAAGAGCGGCTGGCGACACTGCAGCGGGCGGCGACGCAGCGGCCGACGGCAGCACGGCAGCGGGCAGCAGCTCAGAAGCGAGTGGCTGCAGCAGGGCATGAGGCGACATGCATTGCGGTGCTGTTACTGCTGCTGCTGCTGTTGTTGTTGTTCCTGTAGCTACTGCTGCTGCTGTTGCTACTGCTTGGTAAGGGGTGTGGGCAGCCATAGGGAGCAGCGGAGGCGAAAGAAAAGGAAGCGCCTGGTTCTGTGCACCAACTGCAGCAGTAGGTGTCACAGTTGGTGCACCAAGTGCAGAAGTAGGTGTCACAGTTGGTGCACCAAAGGGTGCCACACTTGGTGCCATAGAGGTGGCTTGAGCTTGGAGCGGGGCCCACAGTTGCCGTTGCACTGATCGTTCTGCTTCCACAGCTATACTTTCGGTGCTCTGAAATGGCACTGCTGCTGCTGTTGCTGCTGGTGTCTGATCTGGTGCTACTGATGTGGCTAGGGTCTGAAACGTCGCTCCTGACGCTCCTGCTACTGCTCCTGCTCCTGCGCCTGTTGCGGCACCACCAGATGTTGCCTGATACTGGCCTGTTCCTGTGACTCGCTGCGAGCCCCGCAGCAGCTGACGTGGCAGTATATCCTCCAGCAGCCCCTGCAGCTGACGTGGCGCTGAGTCATCAAACTGGTTATCAACCACAGTCACAGGGGTAGGAACAAGAACCGTGCCCGCACCACTCGCGCTGCTGCTTCTGCTCATAGGTCTCCCATAGTTATCACCACCGCCGCCGCCCGCCACGGCTCGCCAGCTGTCGTTCCTCTCGCTGCTCCAGTTGTGGTTCTCAGCATTATTCCCCACGCCCACAGCGCCGCTGCTCCAACCGTGGTTACCAGCGGTATTCCTAGTATCTTTTCCCGAGCGGTTACCAGCGTTGCTGTTGCTGCAGCTGGTGCTGCTGATGGTGCTGCTGCCGTCGCCGTGGGTGCTTGACAGGAGGTCGGCACGAGAGAGGTTGGCACGCAGCACCGTGAGCAGCAGGGAGTGCGAGTCCGCAGGGGCACTTACGGGGGCGTAAAGAGGAGCGTCCAACGGAGCATTGAATGGGGGGCCATTTAGAGGGGGGGTGCCTGAAAGGGCAGCTGCAGATGCAGATTGGCGGACCATGGGAGCAGAACTGACAGCAACAGCACCGCAACCAGCAGCACCAGCGCCAGCTGTGCCAACACCAACAGCACCGGCACCAATGGTAACACCAGCACCAGCGGCGGCAACACCACCATTAGCCCTCCATCCCGCAATGCCGGTCGTTCCAAGTGCCTCGTGTGTTGGAATGATGCCAGCATTAAAGGGAGGGGCGTCGACACAAGGAGGGGCAGCAGAGAAAGCAGGGGAAGCACCAAAAGAAGGGGCAGCGTCGCACGCAGCAGTGTTGGCAGCAGCACTGCTAGGAGCAGCAGCAGTGTTGGCAGCAGCGGAAGCAGGAGGAGCGTCGCAGGCAGCAGTGTTGGCAGCAGCGGAAACAGGCAGATGGGTGAGCGACGCGAGCAGATTAAGAGGCTGCTGCCGCCTCTTCGGTTGCCACTGCTGCTGCTGCGGCTGCCATTGCTGTTGTCGTGGTTGCTGCTGCAGCTGCGGCTGCGGCTGATGTTGCTGTTGCTGCTGCCACTGCCGATGCTGTTGCTGCTGGGGCCGTTGCTGCTGCTGCGGCAGCGGTTGCACCAAAGCTGCGCCATTATAGGTACTGACATCAAAGTTAAAAGCTGCGCCATTATAGGTACTGACATCAAAGTTAAAAGCTGCGCCATTATAGGTACTGACATCAAAGATTTCGACATCAAAGTCATAAGAGCCGTGGCGAGGATGGGGAGCATGAGAGGGCAAACACGGTTCCGACATCAAGTAGGAGTTGGGTTCGCGTGATCGCTTTCCCAAAGAGGTGGGTGAGGACCAGGGAGGGGTGGCCAGAGAGGTGGGAGTGGATGAGCGTTGCTGGTTCAGGCAGCACGGGGCGGAATTGGACTGCAGCACAGGTCTGCACTCCTCTTGCTGCTGCTGCTGCTGCTGCTGCTGCTGCTGCTGCTGCTGCTGCTGATGCTGATGCTGATGCTGCTGCTGCTGCTGCTGCTGCTGCTGCTGCTGCTGCTGCTGCTGCTGCTGCTGCTGCTGCTGCTGCTGCTGCTGCAGAAGCAGCAGCGGCGGCTGCTGTTGATGCTGTTGCGGGGGCTGCATCTGCTGCTGGCAGGGATGTGTGGGTGCAGCGTGCTGTGTGTGCCGTGCTGCGTGCGCTGCTGTCGGGAATCGTAAAGGGCCAGGAGAACTCATGTTCCCCTGCTGCTGCCACTGCTGCTGCCCTTGCCCCTGCGGTTGTTGTTGCTGCTGCTGCTGCCCCTGCTGCATCTGCTGCTGCTGCTGCTGCTGCTGCTGCTGCTGCTGCTGCTGCTGCTGCTGCTGCTGCTGCTGCTGCTGCTGCTGCTGCTGCTGCTGCTGCTGCATCCGCTGCTGCATCTGCTGCTGCTGTACCAAGTGCTGCAAATGCTGCTGCAACAAATGCTGCTGCTGCGGCGGCGGCTGCTGTTCACCCACCATCTCCACTTTCGCTGCATTCTCCGCCCAAACCCCAGCTACGCCAGCTGTAGCAGCAGCTGCATCTGGTAACTGGCCACAGGGAACACCCCCAGCCTGACAAGCAGCGTCTGGTGCTGCAGAGGGTGCAAACCGGAGTCCTATAGGCGGGTTAATGTGGTTATGCGTGTTCAGGTATGTCACTCGGAAGAAAACTATCGACGCGGGCGGCTTGCCTGCCGTCCGGAGGTGCGCGGCTGCGTCGAAACCGGGCGGCAGCTGCGATGGGTGGGTGGCAGGAGTGAGGGGTAGTAGGTGCCAGTCGACGCGCTTGCGAGCCGGACAGGGGTGGAATACGGTGGGAGAGGGGCCAGCGGTTGGGGTGGCAGTGCTGGCTTCAGCAGCATCATCAGCAGCATCGCCTGTGGCATCAGCAGCAGCTTCAGCAGCATTATCAGCAGCAGCAGCGGCGGCGTCAGGATCAGCTTTGGGATGAGGAATAGTATTAGTAGCATCAGAAGCAGCACCGGTACTAGCAGCAGCAAGGGCATTGGCATCAGCTGCATCAGCTGCAGCTGCAGCAGCAGCTGGAGCAGCAGCAGGCTGGTCGGCTGAGTCTGAACGTGTTGCTGGGGATGCTGCCTTTGCCTCTTGCTTGGACACTATTGTTGGTGTTGCGGGTGCCGTTGCTGCCGTTGCAGGTGGCGCTGCTGCTGCTGATGATGCGGCAGGTGACGCCCCCGCTCCTGCGTCGTCCTGGCAGGCATCAGAGCTGGCAGGCAGCGCGAGGCACGTGGAGCGTGCACAGCGGAAGTACGACCTGGGGTAGGGGGAGAGCAAGGGCAGGAGGAAGGCGGGGCAGGGGGTTGAAAGAAGATGAGATTATGTGGGAATGGAAACCAAAGGGGGTGACAAGGGGGCGTGCGTGAGTGACATCAGCATCCATCTCTCTCAAGTACCACACCCAATGCCCCCCTTTCACATCACATTCACGCTCACCTGTGACAAGCTGATTTGACAAGCCGTTTCTCGCCGTATTTCAGCCAGCACTGCCCGTTCTCCGGCATCACGTCCTGTGGCACGCGTCTCAGCTGCTCCACGTCCACCGCCCTCTCAAGCACTGCAATCAATGCTCCCAGCTCCAAAACACACTCACGTTCACCTGTGACAAGCTGATTTGACGAGCCGTTTCTCGCCGTACTTGAGCCAGCACTGCCCATCTTCCGGCATCACATCCTGGGGCACGCGCCTCAGCTGCTCCGCGTCCACCGCTGCCCACTGCGGGAACAGCGACGCGAAGGCAGGGGCGCCGCTGGCTCCCGGATTCGCCCCCGCCGCCGCGTGACAACCGCTGCCGCCGGCGCTCGCTGCAGGAAACGTGGTGGACAAGAGCTGATGAGCGGACCCCTCTTGACGCAACGCCAGTGGCGCCGCACTCCCCACCGAATTAACCATGCTGGTCACGTTACCGCGAGCCGTTCCGCCGGCGCCGCACTCAGCACCGCTTGCAGTCCCAGCACCACAGGAAGTTCCCCCGGCGGTGGCAGCGGCCAAGGGCTGCCTTGGGGCCATGATCATGCTGCTGGCGCCAGTGCTGCTGGTGGTGTTGTTGCTTGTGGTACTCGCAGCAAGGCCCTTGGGAGTGGGAGTCGCCCCAGTGGCCCCAGTGTGCTTGCTGCTGCTGCTGGGAGTCATGATGATCGCGGCAGTCAGGTAATCCACAGCCATAAAACGCCGTACTAGTTAACAGTCTACTATAGTTGTTGACGACAGACACAGATCGGAGTGTCAGAGCCCTCGCAGGTCTGTGTTTGGATCTTTGGGTTTCAGATGCTGTTTGGCGCTAAGGCCACACGAGGACGCTTAGTACCATCTTAACAGCAGTAGTACTTATAATATTCGTGACCTCATCTGGGAGGGAGAGGGGCGACAGTAGTAGTCGTAGTTCCAAATTCCGCAGATTAGTGGCGAAAACGCGGCACCTGATCGAACAGAAACCGCGTGGTTCTGCTCCTGGCTTCTTGGGGAGTTAACAGAAGAGTTTGAACAGAAACCGCAGAAAGCTGAGTCCGCTCCGCAACCAGTTGCTGCCTCGTCGTCAAGTATTCTCAAACCGCGAGGCTGACAGCCAATCAAACCGAAACCGCGTGATATTACACGTACTACTAGCCTCTCGCAGAAGCTGAATCTGGAAGAGTTTGAACCGCAGCGTGAAGCTGAGTACTGCCCCGTCACGTATTCTCACACGCGGAACGCCGGCTTTGACGGGTACTACTAGAGCAATGATCAAGCAAAAACCACGTTTGCTCGCTTCAAGGCTATCATAACGCTCCGAGGTCAGCCAGACAGACGTCGACAACTTGAAGCCAGCTAGTCCTAGTACCATAAATTGGCAGTGCTTAGGACATGATATCCCGGTGGTGCAAGAAACAAATCCGTCGTGCGTGGAGGACAGCTAGCCTAGCTGAGAGTACTACGTGTATGTGTAGACTGCAGGAGCATCATTCTTACCAGCCTGGCCCCGGCAAGCAGCAACAGTTCTGCCTGATGAGGCAACTTATCGGCCAGGGTCGTGTACGCGGAGGCGGCTCGAGTAAATTGACGTACACTTTACACGGATCCCAACTACAGTAGTGGCACTGTACGCGGACTCGTTGAGTGGAGCGGCGCTGTCTTTGACTGCGAAGATCCCATCCAGCAATAAGCGGGGGAGGAGGGGAGGCGGAGGAGGATCGAAAGAGAGAATGGAGGAGCAGTGCTTGTGCTCTGCGTGCCTGCACCAGAAAAGGGTCTCATGATGGAATGGAATCGGTTTTTTGAATGGGAGTGCGTGCGTGCACGCAGCATGTGTTAGAGGTGACAAGCATGGCTGGAGGGAGCGCGGGGGAGGGAGTTGTAGACCTAGGACTCCTGGGACCCCAGTGTCCCATGTGGCAAGCAGCGGCAGCAGCGGCGCACGCGTGCTCCACCATCTCGCTCACCTCACCAGCACTGTGCTTTCTATTGAGGCGAAAGCGACCAAGGGTCCAAGTTTTGCAACGGATTTAGACGCAGGTGGTACAAATGATGCTCAACCCCTGTGCGCGAATTTGACCTGGACGCGCCAGAAAGTCTGCACGCGTGTTTTTGGGGCCAGCCAGTTGCACCCATTTTACAAGCCCCTCGAGCAAGTTGCAGTGATAATTAACCAATGGTAACGAATACTGACCGAAGTCAACCGTCAATGCAATTGTGATGAACCAATGGTAACGAAGAGACCGACGTCAACTGTCAACGTGTAACATTTGAAGAATATATAAGCACTTTTTTGCCAGCTGCGACGTTGACGAAGCTTGCGAAACGCACAGAACAGCTGGCTACAGCTATCCACTCAAAAGCCCCCTTCACAAGGCTACAGCTGTCCACTCAAACGAGCATCATTTGTAGATCGCATAGGTGACAACAAGACATATTAGCGACAAAAGTCGAAAGTCAGAAAATGTCTCTAGGAACTTTGACAAACGTCCATTGTGAGTCAAAATAGGTGGTGTTGGTTCAAAATTGGTTAACGACAGCTCCGGATGCTGCACCGATCAGAGGGACTGGTTAACAGCGGCGGGTGG